AACCGGGACCGGGCAGGGCGAAACCAACCCCGCCAGCCTGGCGTTCGGTGCACCCTGTCATAACGCGGGGAGGGCTGATGGGGGCACGGCGCGCTATCCTGCTATTTGTGCAAATAAAAGACCACATCTTGATGCAAAATAAACACAAAAGCGCTGTTGTGACTATAACAGGGAGTCATATACTAATTTATATAATAAGTGGTTGTGCACGCTTTATTCAAGATTATGGCTGCAAGAAATGGCATGAATTGCTGGGTGTGTTTAATGCTGGATTATAGCAATTTGAAACATGTCAAACACATGGCTAATGCCTCATGCTTCACTCATTCTTGCGTAAACCTGCATAGCCACCATCCATTATACCCTTGGTAACAACACAATTCTGCAAGTAAATATTGTTACACTAAGTAACCTTTCAATTCAAGTTGTTTAGGAAGAGAAAATGCAATCTTGTGCAGTCAGTTCCAGTGTCAGTTTAATGTTTCAAAAGGGAAGTGGTGTAGAGAATAAGTATCTGTACAGTGACTTGCCGGCTTCAAACACACACACGTGCACGCGCGCGCACACGCGCACACAGAAAACACACAGTTTACTGCGGGGGAGAAAAGTAAAGCTGCAGCTTCTAACTTCACAGGACCAGTCTTTCTTTTTTGGTATGGGCGATTGCCTGGTTACCCTGGCAGAATTCATTCAACCTGCAGCGCAGCCCCACACTACAATAATCTACAATTCCGTTCTCTCTTGCAGAGAGCAGCAAATATTTTCCCCAGACCTTTGTTTAAAATACCTGGTAGCAGAGCTTATAGCTCACCTTTGGCGACAAGAGTTTGGGAATCACAGCAGAAGTAGGTGCTGGTGAACGTGTGCGTCTGTGAATGTGGGTGCGTGTGTGCGTGCATGCCTGTGTAGGCATGCTCCTGACTGACAGCGAGTGTGACAGCAAGAGAAAAAGAGAAGGATTAGGAAGTGTGAATGTGTATAAATGTGTGTAAACAGGGACCTGTATATTTTTCCTTGTCCTTTTTGAAGTACTAGACTTTCAGCCTTAGTATCTGGCAGTCATTATATTTCCTTAGTATTTATTTATGATTATTGTGCTAACAGCCTACACTACTGTTGTGAAAGCAAGGAGAGAAGTACATTAGTTTGCTTAGTTGCAGGTTCAGATAATTCTGCCACCAATAACTGAAATTACTGATACATAGATGTCAGGAATGATCCTCGGTTAGATGTTTTCAGCACTGTAATTTGTGACGTTTTAGTGTTGATAGTACACACACACAGACACACACACGTGCATAGATGTGTGTGTGTGTCTGTGTGTGTGTGCAAGAGAAAAGAAGGGAAAAGAAAAAGCTTCTGTGCTCTTGTTTTTACCAGCAGCCCGGTTTTAGTTGCTGGCAGTGAGAAGGGGGCTGTGGACAACCAGCACAGAGCATAAGCCAAAGTTTCGGAATTGTTTTTAAAAATATGCTTTTACAACTAGAAAAAACATTTTATTTTTAACATAAAATTCTAGGGACTCTTTCTTCTTCCTGTAAATACTTCAGTATTTCTTCCAGTTCACTTCCAAATGAATTACCCTTTCTGGTATTGATACTCTATAGTTTCATTCTCTCTGTACACAGCTGTTGGGTCGGATTTGTTGTGTTCAATTGCCAGCGTAGTGTTACTGGTCATGTTATGTTGTTAAAGCCGATTCTGCTGGCTCACAGACAGTTTAACTTAAAATGCAGAGCCCGAACTACACTCTGGGGCTTTGCAAGGATACAAAATCCACAAGACATAAAAACCCTTTGGTTAGTATGAACTGGAAGATGTTTAACCCTTCTCTGCTAATTGTAATGAAGGAGTCGGAGAGCTGTGAAAACAGGGGGGCTGATGTATTTATTTATTAAATTTCTGAGTGTTTTCTAATGTTTTGATTATATAACATTTACACCCCTTTGCCCTTTTAATGCGCTTGGCTAAATGTACCACTGTTATTGTCTAACGTTCGAATTTGTAAAAGATGAACCTGTCTGTTGGTTAAATCTTTGTTTGACTAAAAGAGGATTAATGTTTGAATTTCCTGAATTTCCAAATCCTTGTAACGATACAGTTGATGAAGTGTTTTAAATAGATTTCCACTCTGATATACATGTCTTTTTATTGAAAGTAAATATTGTAAAAATCAGAAAGGGCTGCTTGCTCCCACAGTTGTGGCATAGCCGCATTAGAATTTTCATATAACTACTAAGGGCAATCAGACCCTTTTCTCTGAATATTTTAAACATTGTACATGTAAAATTTATGCCTAATTTGAATACTTATTAGCTGCCTAATCTCAGAAAAGAGTATTAGCTTTGTTTTTGCCTTGTAAAATTCATCACTGTGTGTATCACATTTTCCATTTCTATTCTTTTTCCTTCGCTGATGTTCATAAGAGTGTTTAAGAAGGGCTGTTTGCTCATAAACACATCTGGTGCTGCTGTTGTTTACTGGGCTCTAACAGCTGCCCTCCTTTATGTTAACTGTGTTCGTGTTTGGGTTTTTTGCATCCTGTTTATTTTTGACCAGACCATCTTTAAATAACTCATCTTTTGCTATTTTAACTTTCTTCACACTATATATACTTTCGCTTTATCTTGTGGGCGCTTGTTTGTGTTAGTTCGTACAGCGTTTTGATTAATATCCCATGCACGTAGTTGAAGTTGTAATGATCCTTTTCCTGCCTTTTTTTTTTTTTTTTTTTTTTTTGTCAGGGAAAGGCTATTGCTCATACTTTGCAAGGGAACAAATAACTAAGTTCAATAATTAGGCTGGGTGGCAAGCTTTGTTTCTTTTCTCGAGTTTGCTTACACATCCCTCTCCCTTCGGAGGTGTGTTTTAAAGTCACAGCTGAGCCAGGTTGTTGTCAGGAGTGAGGGTGAAGGAAAGTGCGGTCCATTCTGACCCTGCGAGAGCAGGAGAGGACTTTGGTGGCTCTGAGAAGAGACGTTGACCTTTCCATATTACAGATACAAAATGTGCCTTGAAATTCTGGTTTGTAAGGGCACGTTGGTTCTTTATTTACTGCAAAGATTTCAACTGATCTTGGCAGGACATCTCATTGCTATCCTGAAAGTACAGTATATTTATGCAGTGAAAATGATAAAACATTTATTACTGTAGAGAAGGTAATATGCATAATTTATGCTGTTTTTAGCACAATCATTAGTGATATTCTTGATAGATTTTATTTCCAGCTTTCATATCTAATACATGCCTGGAAAATTAATTTTATATCTTTCATTTATTTGCCTATGTTAAAATTGAGTTTTAAGTCATCTTCAAGTGAACAGTTTGATTGCTGCTCATGCATAAGCTTAATTACTTCCCAGGAAGGACAGTATTAAATGTTTTAAATGTCAGAAAAATAAATGAATATCAGCCGTTTGATTAAAAAAATAGGCAATATCTGACGTGTTTGCAGCAGGAGCTTTTTCTTAAAATGCCTCCGAGGCAAAATTTTATTTAGTCACAAAAAAGGAGAAGCCCATTATACTATTTATCATTGGTTGATACCATATGATTTGTAACACCCTTACAAAATTTTAATTTTGTATGATTAGCTGTGCATCATTAAACAACAGCCTTGCATAAGATATGCTGTAAAATTCTGACAGAATCAAGATAGTGAATATTTTAAATAAGGCTGTATAGTCATCCATGGTTGTCAAAGCTAGATAATAGGAAATATAGAGCAGTGTGTGAAATCATGCCTTCATTTAAACTGGTTTTATAGGTAGAGTTTGAAATGTAGTCGTTCATAAATGCTATTGACCATGCTGCGTGCATGGTGTGTTATTTTGGCCGTTAAATGTAAGCACAGAAAGATTGCTTATAGAAACCATAATTCCGGTGATTAGTATCTGTATGAAAGCAGAGTTTGCATCGCATTTCTTGGTAAACGGCTCGGCGAGGCTTTTTTCTTCTTCTAAAGATGCTGTCTGTGTAATTGGCAGAGAGGGACATCTTGATAATGGAAGTGTGAAGGTGTAACGCGTGTGTTAATTGATACTTCTTAATCACTTTTAGGTATTAAGTCATGATGCAGGAATCTGCGACAGAGACAATAAGCAACAGTTCAATGAATCAAAATGGAATGAGCACTCTAAGCAGCCAATTAGATGCTGGCAGCAGAGATGGAAGATCAAGTGGTGACACGAGCACTGAAGTAAGCACAGTAGAACTGCTGCATCTGCAACAACAGCAGGTAAGTTTGTTTTGCTTCCTGTTTGTTTTTTAAACAAATAAAGGGCTGTTTTTGGACAGGCACCCTTCTGCAGACCCCCTGTGCGTGCTGAATGTGAAGTGTTGTGCAAGCGAAGAGCGTGGGGCGTTATTTGTTGTTGTTTTTGTGCACGTTAATGCTGAGATGCGAGGATCCTGTTTCCGTGGCGGCAGCATCTTGCTGATACCTCTGCACAGCACCGCGCTCGCCTGGTGATTAAAATCCCGCGGCGTATTTAGAAAAGTTGTGCCGAAGCCTTGCAGTGCGTGTTTTCAGGATCTGTTAGTTTGCGGGGGGCTCGGCGGCGCAGGAGGTGATGCGGAGCTTTCCACCAGAGGGCCACATTACTTGAGACTTGGCTGTGTTTGCCATGAATCCTTCCAAAGTCGCAGCTGGGGTGAAGGGACCAGAGTGACTTCTCACAATAAAGATGCTTTGCTCTCGTAGGTGTAAATAAAAAAAAAAAAAAAAAAAAAAAGGCTGGTTAGTTCAGAACCACTGAAATAAAAAAGAGCATCTGACTGTCTGTGTGTGCGTGTGTGTGAGTGTGATTTGGATGAGTGATTTTGAAAATATGGGAGCAGAGAGATGCAGCTTTTCTGTAGGTATGTTCCCATTCTCACTTTTAAAACATTTTTTTAAGCTTGTTTGTTTGCTCAGCGAGTTAATGAAGAAATGCCTTTAAATGTTTAAAACTGTAAAATTAAATCATTGTCTGGCTGCTGATGCCATCTGATTGTGAGATGCAATCGATTAATTTTTGTCACTGTAAGATTTCTTTTCCTTTTAAAACCTGCACAATCATAATTCCTTCTATTATGTCTGCCTAACGAGTTGCCTCCCCCTCAGGGTGTGCAGATTGTACTAATGCAGTGAAGCCCAAACTGTTTGTTTGGTAAACAATCGGGGTCTGATTCTGCAGAGCACCAGTACCTGCTCTGAACTCCTGAAAGTCTTCAGTGTCTGGTCCTCTCATCTGCTGAGGCCACTCAGCACCTTTGGGGTGCAGACCCTTCATTTGTAAATACTGAGGTTTTTCGTTACAACGTCAAGTGTTGCATTAATGGAAGGGAAATTTTCTCCCGTAAGATAAAATATTATAAAAATCCTGTTTTATAGAAACATGTTTTAATGTGATAGATAAATTGCATGTGTATGGGCCTCTGAAATAACAGGTCATAATAGCTCTTAAAATTGAATCATTCTTGGTGCTGAATTAAGCAGTGTACACTAACTACGTTTATAGTTAAATATTTTAAATGGTGACAGAAAATGTGGAAGAATTAAATAATTGTAGAATGAAATATGAGAAGTTGTTAAGGCTTAAATCTGTGCCTTGCTTCAAATTCAAGTGTATTCTGTTTTAACAATTGAGCACTTACGGTATTAGAGTCTGAGGAAATACAGGTTTCAGTGTCTTCATTAAGTTCTTAGCAAGCTTACACCTCTCTCTCTCTCTCTCTCTCTATATATATACACACACTACTGTCTGTATATGTATATGTACTATATATACTATTTTCATATAAAATCATATGTATATACACACACATATGTATATATATGTCAAATATTGTTTTCGTTGAAAAGCATGCCATACCTTTATTCGGGTGTTCAGATTATAACAGTATTTTAAAATCTTTATTGGGAGACAGAGTATATTTCATTGGTGAAAATGTTTAGAAAACTAAATTTAAGTGAAACACTTTAAACCACAAAAATACCAACAGAATAATATGCCACTTACATGTTTCTCAAAGCAGCAGTCCTAGGCATTTGTAGCCAATTTGTCCATACAGTCACAGATTTCAGTAGATAGCATTTGCAAGGACCACAGAGAATAGCAACTGAAGATGAAAATATCCATTTGAGTACTAATAACAGACAGGTTCTGAGGGGACAGGCTTAGAAGTGACAATCTTTTCTTCAAAACTGTGATTAGATCTTAAATAAGCAGACAGGCAAAGTAAAACCATGGGTACAGTTAATAGGACTCAAGAGGCATTTTATGGTAGGGTCTGCACCACAGGATTTAAATACAACTTGAGTTAGGCGTATAAATCCGTCTATAAAATATGTTGATGTGAAACATAAATACTAGTAAACATGCAGTAGGATGTCCTTTAGGTAATGGGCATAACTTTATGCTACTTTTTATTTTGTTCCACTTTTTTCTGCTTCTTTTATTTTTCTGGTTTTGACCAGATGCCTTTTGAAATATGATTTAAGAGGAAAATGATGGCTGGTTTTATTATTGTCACTGTAGTGACTCTCTAAAATGTTATTTTTAGTATGCGACTTGCCTAACAAACTTTGACAAGTAGAAAAACAGAGCAAACCCCGTTGTACCTGCAGATATTATTCTTAAGATTTTTTATTGTTTAAATATGTGCAAGATATAATGTACTGATGTCATAGTTTAACATTCTGGTTTTGGCTTCTCTGAGTCATTTTATTGGGGGCCTTCAAATAAACAAATCAAGTTTGTTACAGCTTTTTCTGAAGGAAGCGAGTAAATGATTGCTGGTTTTAATACATTTCCTTCACCTGGGCAGCTACATAAATCAGTGCTAATGCTTAAGAACAGATCTATCAGCTGAGTAAAATCACAAAATAAGTTTTCACTGTGGCATGAATATATACTGGGGAAAGTTAAACATGAGAAATTTTAGACTCTGTACAAAGAGCAACCGGGCTATGTTAAAAATTTTAAGTTATATACAATTTGCATCTCGTTCAAGCATTGTGATCGCAAGTTGGTGGATGTATAGAAAGTACATAAATAATAGACTTCATTAGGTTCTGATAAGCAATTATATGGAGTTTGGACGGTTCTGTTATTGGTTTGATGAACTACGTTGTAGTGATCTTTATATAGAAATGAGAAGTTTGACTTAAATGAGGGAGTTATTCCTCATCCATGTATCAAGAGAGAATGACAGTAATCTATAATATATTGTAATATATACTTGGTGATAAATGGATTGGGTGCTGTCACAAGTCATCAGGTCGTCTTTGAAGATGTATGACTAGAACGTAAGCAACTTTTTATCTTACTGTCAATATTTATCAATTTATAAATATTGCTAAAGTGAATGTAGGTTTTTATTATTAAAATGTGATGCAAACTGTAAGCTGCTTAGACTTGTTTCTTCTGCTTTTTTTGGCTTACGATGAGACATTCGTGCACTTCTGAGGTTTTCACTTTCATTTTTTTTCTTGTCTGTTAAAATCAGTGTTTGATAGTAGAATGTATAATACATGGAAAAAACATATCCTTGATTAAATACAGTGGCAGATTATTCTGCGTTAGATGTAGAATTTTATTTTGATATTAAGTTTGTAGAATTAATTGTTTGTGTCACTAAGGTCAAAATAGTTGCTAAAAAACCATGATTGCTTTACAGGGTAGATTTGAGCTTGCATTTTGAGTATTCATTAAGTCAGTTCTACCAAGATAATATTTTAAATGTTTTATGGGAATTTACTGGTAAGAACCTGTTTCAGTGGACTTTGTTTAAAATTATTTTTCCAAAGGAGTTTTATTTTTTTTTAGCATATCACTTACCAGTTGCTTTCCATTGATACAAAATGCAAATAACATTTACAAAAGCAAGAAACATGATGCCAGCATTTAGGTTATCCTGGTGATGCAGAAAGAGAAGTTTTGCTTTCTTATGTTTTATCCTTGTGGTTATTTTAAAAGGAGGAGGAAAATAACAGTATTTTTTGTTAGTTATGTGAAGTCTTAAATTAGGTTTTAACAAGACGGTGTTTCTATATGTTGGTCAGTAGTTCTATTCGGTAAACCGCTAGAAACTTGCATTTTGACTCCTTGAAAGAACAAACGAATTTTCTCAAACTGTACGAGCAGTGTGTACTAAAAAGTGACATAAAAATCCACAACTAGTACACCTGTGGCAAAAGCTGATGCCGTAAAGAATATTGATGATATGTAACTTAAATATAAAACTTTGTATTGCATCTGGTTGCACTTACTGTTACTTAAATTGACCACATGTTGTACTAGGAAAAAATACTTCTTCCTAGTGATTTAAAGCTGAAGTTAAAATTCTGGAAAATTATGCAGAAGTGTTTCAGGCTTTCACATCACAAGCTCAAAAGGGGCAAAATTCTGTTAGGTTCATTCATGTTGCTTTCAGAGCAGCTATTACCAAATTAACAGATGTTGAACTAGTAAGGGAAAGTATATTTTCTGAAAGCAGGCACACACGTGGTCTAATCTTTAATTTATAAGGGAATTGGAAATATCCTAAAATACCAGAATATAATGTCACAGAAGTCCTGATATGCTCCTAGAACTGTTTTTGATTATTAGTCTTTATTTTTTTGACTCTTGCTGTGTGCTTCTGTGAACAGAATTTTTTTTTTTTTCGCTGGTGAATGATTGGAGAAGGGCTAAATTCAAGCGCAGGCAGCCTGCCCGCCTACTGACACTGCTGCTGGAGTAAAAAGAACGTATTTCACTTTCCATGTCTGCCATCCCAATCTTTGATGAATCCCTTACCATCTGATTTTTTCAAAAGATTTGAGCACATGGCTATTTAATATAAGTACTGGGAGGTGTGTCTCATTGGCACCACGCCTCAGTATTTCAACCTGTGAAATGGGGGTGATAGTATGTAGCCGGCTTACGTATTTGTTTATGAAATAATTCATAAGCTATACTCATGAGTACCTGAGCCGACCGATCTCATTAAATATTATAAAAACCACATATCACATCTCAGTGTGTTATTTTGACATGAATATAGATTTTCTGACATAAGGTGTGTAAAAAGGTCTATTGCTTGTGCAGCTATATAATTTTCTAGAGCTTTCCTTCAAATAGATGTGAACATAAACCGCGATGTTTATCACAAGAATATATATTAGCGCCCAAATGCCTACATTAGGACAGACTACTGTAATCTCACGGAAAGATTTTTGGCGAAGCACATTGAAATAAGCAAACAGACATT